CGTCGATCGCACTGTATGCTGCTAGAGTGCGAGAATGCTGCGCGACGGGCTCGAGAGTCACCCAGCTCGCTGATAAGCGCTCACACTCACAGCTGAGCCTGGGATTGATAGCATGTCGATAGCAAATTTGCTAAGGCTAGGGTGGCGATCGCGGAGTTCTACCCAGTATTTTATAGGGTCGACGCCCTCGCCAGCGATCGGTTCGCTGCGTTTTCAAGCCTCATATTCATCTTCCTCGTTCTCCGTAAGCCCTGCAGGCTCAATAAAGTTGTTGATAAAGTTGCCGCGATTTCTGGAGCATTAACGCGTGTTCTTTTTGCTGGCATTATAGCAACGGCGAGGTAGATAGTAGCTGCAAATAGAGACGCGTTGATGGAGTTTAGATGAGTGTGGTGGGTGATAAGTAGTAAGTGAAGTGTCGCAAAAGGAGAATATTGTTGCCAGGCGGTTAGCCGGAAATTTAGTAGCTTATTTGCTAGAAATATAGCAAAAAAGAGTGTATTTTATGTTATAACTAGGTTTCGAACTTACGCACTACACCTAAAAATCATCGTGAGATTGCCCCTCCACCAAGTCCTTCAGCCCCAAGTTTCCAACCGCCCCATCTAACCAAGCTAAGCAAGCTGACTGAGCGAGCGCCTATCCCTAAGCTCGCTCGGCTTGCAAGCGCGCATTGCGCGCTCAGCTCATTCGGCTTGGTCAAAACGTCCAAGCCGAGCGAGCTGAGCGAGCCGGCTCGCTCGTTGACAAGTATGCTTACAAAGAACCCTCACCTTCACGAAAGATCAAAGCACATCGACGTCTGTTATCATTTTATCAGAGACCTAGCAGAACAAGGTAAACTCGACGTGGCCTACGTGCCAACTGTAGATATGGTGGCTGATGGAATGACAAAGCCGTTGCAGCGAGTCGCATTCGAGAAATTCAAGAACCAATTAGGAGTTGTCCTTAGACCGGACCTGCCCTGAGGGGGAGTGTTGAGAAGATGTAAGGTTCAGTCCAGGTCGGCGGGGATGAGGCTCGTGGAAGTAAGCCCGAGCAGAAGGACCGACGCGGAATGATGATCTGTCATGTAAATCCCCAGATCATCATGATAATAAGAAGACAGAACAACAGCTCTTAGTGTAGTTCAATCCAATACGTGGTGACCTAACATACCTCTACTCGGTTCCCTATGGTAGTCATACCACCAGAGGAGACCTTGTTCCAATACGACTTCATAATAACGAATTACCATCACCATATGTTTTGATATGACGTTCATGTGCCACGCACATGTAACGGGTCCTTTCCTTCGATGCAGCGAGCAACTTTCTGACGGGCCATCCGCTATCCGCAACGCAATCTCAACTGTCAACATTGCTAGCATGTTGGGGACGTGTGCGATACGGACCTTGGCTCGACCACTCGTTCATCGTGCCCGTGTTCCGTGGCCCGTGAGTGGCTATGTTTATCGAAAGTGGCGGGTACTATCACGATCCTAGTCTAATTATCCACGCGTACCCGGACGCAGCGCCACATGGCTCGAGGGTCTAGCTAATCTGTAATGCGAACAGTCTAGAAGAACCTGCCGATTGACTAATACGAAGCTCTCCTACCGAGGCCCCTTTGCGTTCTAGTTCGAGACGTGACACC